TGACCCATGATTCGGAACCATACAAGAGAGTAGACAACACTATGGCTCTGTAAACACTTATCTTTGTACTTTTCCTCAAGTGTTTATTAGGCTATACTCTTTTATTATGCCATATTCTTTTCTGGAGTTTTCCAAAAGCACTGTATGCCTTTGCTAACCTGTTGTCTATCTCTCTGTCAATCTTACTGTCTGAGGAGATGAGGCTACCAAGGTAATTAAACTGCTGGACTGATTTGAGCTCTGATTGGCCAATGGTGATATGAGGATGATGGAAGACTTCCTGAGGTGCAGGTTGATGGAGAACCTCTGTCTTCTTTAAGCTGACTTCCAGCCCAAAGAGCTCAGCAGCATCTGCAAAGCAGGATGTTAAATGCTGCAGAGCTGTTTCTGTGTGGGAAACAAGGGCGGCGTCATCAGCATAAAGCAGCTCCTGGACAAGATGGTTTAAGGTCTTGGTGTGGGCCTTCAGTTGCCTTAGGTTGAATAGACTTCCATCAGTACGGTATCAAATGTAGATACCATCCTGATCATCGAAGTCTGCTGTGGCCCTTTGGAGCATCCTGCTGAAAAAGATTGTGAATAGGGTTGGTGCAAGAACACAGCCTTGTTTCACACCACTGGTAATTAGAAGGGCTCAGAAAGTGCATCACCATATCTGACTTGGCCACGCTGATCCTCATGAAGTGAGATGATCATTTTAAGGAACTTCGGGGGACATCCTAAACATTCCAAAATCTGCCATAGACCTTTTCTGCTCAACAGTATCAAAAGCCTTGGTGAGATCAACAAAGGTTACATAGAGACATTTATTCTGTTCCCTATACTTCTCTGTGGAGATTAATAAGAATTTAAATTGATAGTAATTCTTCCCATTCTCATCCTGTAGCTTCATAACATAGTTGAAAGTACTTCAGTTTGGGGAACATAAAAGAAATATCAGTATTTGATTTCAGCATAAGGACTGAAAAGACATCTTTTAATGCAGAATAAAAAATTTGGGACTGATGTCTGGAGAGGAGGAAAATATACAGCACAAGCAACACAATAAAAATTATGTATTTCAAGCTTGATTTGGCCTAAATGATAATTTCTCCTTTCCCTTTCCACTTTTCTATAATTTTGAAAAGCCACTTCAGTGTACTTACATGATGAGACCTAATCAGGGCTTATGATAATGAAGCGTCATTGATTAATGTAACACATTAAAATAATTTCAGATATTAGTTTTACCATAATTTGCAATCTGTGAGTAGATTTATTTTAAAGGAAGCAACATGAATGAAAGTTTTAAGAAATCTGGCCTGTTTGTTTTTTTGGTTGCTTGCTTTTTTTAAAATCTGTTTGAATAGTTCATTGAACCTGAAAAGCTGGAGATATTCTGGGGTGATTAAGGCACTATGGCAGTAAAAATGCACATGTTCTAATGATAACATATCTAAAATTCATGTTTTCTGTGAGGAGAAAATAAAGCAATTCCTGGACTGGCTGAACTGAGTCGACTGTTCGTATTTAGTTAGTATGAAAATGGATTGAGTGTGCCAAAAAAGCTTTATAATCAAGAAGTTGCTGTAGATTTAAAGAATAGAATTTATTTAGTAGTTGATAGGCACAAATGTTGGTGTTAGGTGGGATAATTGGTTTGTTCAGAACAGGCAGGAACAGAACTGTTGAAAGGCAAAAAGCAGGTTTTAGGGTTAGAGGACATGACTGGAAATTAAACATAGTATTTTGAATAAGAAAAAAATAATTTTTCTTTTCCCAAATATGACAGGCTCTTGATTTGAGATACTTTGTAAAATTACTGGATTACGATATTGTTTTAACTAATACTCTAATAGGGGCTTAAATGGGTTTTTCTGAAGCCATCTTACAGTTCTGTTTTGATTTAATGCCTTTTTGGATGTTAACTGAACTACTGTGGTACTGTTTTGCTTGGGGGTACGCTCTAAATTTAAGGTTCTACAAAATATCTTAAAGTTGTGCTAACGATAAAATCTACAAATGCAGAATTTAAAATTATCTGACAGTGTTTTTTTCTCAGTTGTTTGCAAAAGGAATGTTGTGCTTTGTGATACAGAATTGCAGCAGTTGGTGATGCATCCTGCTGGAGACATATATAGGGACTGAGAATAGGAATGATAATACATAAACCAGAATGTGCTGGGAAAACACATTGTTTTGAATTTAAGTTCTCCTAGGACGTGAAATATTCTTTCAATCTATTTTAATTCTTAACTTCATTTACAAATAGTGGTAACTTCAAATGCAAATTAATATTTTTTACAAACAAACATTATAAAAGGTAGATTAATGTAACTAATATTTTTAATGCCACTGATTAGAAACATTTCTGAAGCTTTTTGCTTTCAGTGCTTTAATCCTCTTCAGGGGTATATAGATCAAAATATAGAGAACTGTTTTAATCTTTGTAAAACTGGAAGTAAAATAATGTGGTCTGAACAGTCTCCCTAGCATACTAGGGGATTTTTTTTTTCTCCTGAAAATAGCCTCAGACTGGTTATTTTTTGCTTTATTGAGGTCATGACCTAAATAAAATAAACACGTCTCTGAAGTTTAAAAAACCCAAGTGAACTGTACATCACTGCCTGATTCCTGGAACGGTAATAACGTGACACATATATTTATATAAAAATAAATTATCATCTTGTTTTTAAAAAAAGTGCATTTGCACATCCATTAAATAGACTCTGAAATGTATCAAGCAGTTTTGCTCCATCAGCTCCTCCCCTGGGCCCCTGTAAGTCTGATTTGTGTCCCCTTTGTGGAGGGGCAGGAGTGGGGCGAGGGATGTACCCAGGGGTGTCAGGAGCTGTCCTGGCCCCGCGGGTGGGGGAGGCAGGAGGACAGTGGTAGATCCTGGTTCCGATCTGTGGTTCCAGTCCGTGGTTCTGATGGGCAGCAGCCCTGTGTGCAACCTGTGCCAGCTGTGGGCTGAGGTGCTGCACTCCTGTGAGCCCCAGGAGGACTCTGCGGAGGAGGAAGGAAGGAAATCATCAACCAGGTTCTTTCTGGCTGAGAAATTGCACTTGCAAAACCACTCCAGTGTGAGCTTTATCCTATATAAATGAAATCTTCCTATCACCACATTTCAAAAAAAAAATCCTTTTAAAAATCAAACACTCCTCACAAACACACAGAGATTAGTTTTATGTGTTTCCAGTGAGGAACAGAGTTTGGCCTTTAGATCAGAAAGGGATAAAGATTGTAGCTGCTTTTGCCTTTTGTTGGCTAATTCTAGAAAGTGTCTCCAGAAGAATTATATAGTGTGCATTTCTTTGGGAGAGACATTTTGGGACAAGAGACGATTTCTCCTAGCAGTTTGAATACGAAGACAAAGCCTGATTCCTGTAGCTCTCTAGTGAGCACAAATAGGGATGTATTTTTAAGGGTTGTTTTGTGAAGGATGCCAGTATTGGCTGATTACTGGCATTGTGGCAGCTTAATGTAGAATCAGCTCTTAGTCCGAACTCTGAGCAAGGTGTTTGAGGCTGAGGTACTGAGCTGTGGTTGCCATAGTGCCCACAGTCAGACTGCTGTGTGCTCTGAGGTACCTGATGAGAGTATCATGTTGGAGTGTTGACAGAGTAAGCCCAGCGTATCTGGGGCATCTGTGTGTTGGCATCAGGGCAGACAAGACATCAGTTAAAAATAGAAATGAAAAATTGTGTGTTTTGTTGACCTTTTATGGCTGCTTTTACTGCCACTTATAAAGAAATTCTGGTTAATTCGTTTAACCAGTTCAATGATAGAGTGTTTTAGAATTAACCATTTTGGTCAACCTTTTTTTCTTAAAAATCTAGGTTATGCTAAAATTTTTTTTTTTTTTAATTTAAATAATTTGCTTTATCCTTGCTTGCAGATTTTTTGTTATCCTATGTGGCATGTTCGTTTCAGCTCCTGACTGTGCACTTCTTGCTCTTCTGTAGGTCTGAGCAGCCTCGTATAACCAAAGATGTAATTTGTTTTCATGCTGAGGACTTCTTGGAGGTAGTTCAGCGAATGCAGTTAGATTTGCATGAGCCTCCACTCTCACAGGTAAGCATGCTAAGAACTGATGATCAGTGTCCTCTGAGTACTAAGTCAGAGTTTTCACCTTTTTTCCCCCCACACTTTTTCCCTACAGTGTGTCCAGTGGGTTGATGATGCAAAACTTAATCAGCTGCGAAGGGAAGGCATCCGATATGCCAGAATCCAGTTATTCGATAATGACATTTATTTTATCCCAAGGAATGTTGTTCACCAGTTCAAAACAGTCTCAGCCGTGTGCAGTTTGGCTTGGCACATCCGGCTCAAGCTCTACCATTCAGAGGAAGAACTCTCTCAAAACATGAGTACTGTTGAAGCAGAGACCTCTGCAGACCCCAAGTCTTCGGTTGCTGGACTTCAGAGTGACAAGAGAGTTTGTACCATGGGCAAAGATACCTCCGAAGACACCAAACTCTCAGATGCTCTGCAGACCAAGTACCTGCAGCAGGAATTTATGCCGATAAAACACGAACCTCTCGCATCTCACCAGATAAAAGAAGAGCCCATGAATGTCGATCTTGCTGAAAAGACAGTGGCCCCTAATGACGTCGGGGGACAGAATGTTCAGTCTAGGCTGGATCACGTTGAGTTGACATCATTAAAGTTGGAAATGGATTCTAAATTTGAACCTGGCAACAAGGACTTGCAAGGCAAGTTGTGCTCTGGAGGTCACGTACATCCAGATGATACAAGACAACATAGTTCATCATATCCAAAACTGCATGGACAAAGAGAGGATGATTTTTTGTGCTAAATTTGTATATATGGTTTTAAATTCCTTTTTCAACTTAATGATGTAATAATGTAAAGATCATAAATTGTGAGGCAAGCTTGTGACTTGCCTTCGCATCTGTTACAGAAAATAGTTATGTAGCTTTGTAACATTCCTCAGTGCCTGTCCATAACTGTGAAGTATCAAAGCACTTAGGGCCAGATGCACTGTAAACACTGCAGGTTTAACATAAAGAAGTCTTTAAATAATTTTGAGTTGTAGGTTTTAGAGTAGAGCTGACATTTAACATATATATTTTTTGTAAGATGAGCCAGAATTCTTTTTGACAATTCCAGGCTTTTCCATAGAGCTTATTTATACCAATTTTTTCATTTTAAATGTGTCAGCACTGTAGTGTAAATATCTTTTTTAAAAATCTTTTTAGTGTGATTTATACTGAAATGTGAGCCGCTTAATAAAGGTTCATAATAACAGATTGGTTTTATTTTTGGGTCTGCAAAAAATAATTCAGTTAAACTGCCTCTCTTAAGTGGTTGTGTTTCTACCTGCACTACTGCATAGGATGCCCTTACACCTTGTGGGTGAGGAGCTGTAGCAAACTGAGGTAGAGCTGAGGCATCTTTGTAAATGCAGATTAGTCAGAATGCAGAATCAGTCATCCCTTCACAGGACTCCTTACAGGTGCTCGTTCAAGGCACTCCCCAAACTCCTGCTGTCAGATATGAATTGGAACAGAGACAAACTGCCCTCCTTGTTGTGGGGGCACCGCTGCCAGTACCCACCTGCATCTCTCCAAAGGAGCTGGTGCAAGGCAGCCATCTCCCTTCTGTGCCTGCCCCTTCATCATGCTCAAGGCACAGTTAAGACAGTTCCATTTCACATGGAAAAAAACCCTGGCAAAACAAACCAAAAAAGCAACCATCCCCTCAAATCAGTAATCTGACTAAAGTTAAAACACATAATATTTAAAGGGTTACTTATCAAACTACAAAGGCCTCAACTTTAGCAGTGACCTGTGATTCACAGAGACATATCTGGATTTGAATTGCTCCCTGTGCTGATAGTGCCAGGCAATAAGGATACTTGCCAATGTGTATAGTAGGAAGGTTCCTCATGAGTCACAGTTTGGAAGCAGGAGGTGTTCCAGTAAGAAAATAACAGTGGTGTCCAAGTTAACTGTTCTCCTGCCCCACCTATGGAACACTTGGATTCTCTTAAGCTGTGTTCTGAGGGAAGAGGGTTTTGAGGCTAGCTAGCATCTGATGTGGTAATGGCAAAACTCTGTCACTTAACTTATTTATTCTCTGTGTAATGTATTCCTGTGTAGTTCAAACACAGCTGAATGATGTGTCTTTTTCAGATAGCTACACATAGCAGTAAACTACCCTGAGCATGTCCTTCAGCTAAGTATGTAAAACTTAAGATCCAAGGCCTGTTATTTTCAAAGCCCTCTGTATCTGATTTTTGTTTGGATTTTTCTGTAGAACTTTCTGGAAGTTGTACCTCCTTATGTACCCAGTTTATAACTTTCAGTGCACTTGGTGATCACTTGGCTTGATTTGTAGCAATAGAACAACATGATTTTCAGGTGATGTCTAATTCAACTACCTGAGATCCTTCTGTTGCAAATGTTTTTTGCTTATGGATTGTTAAAATTTAAAATGTACTCACACCTGGCACTAAAATCAGCTATTTAATAGATGAGTGCCCTGATTTGTTTAATCTAAAATAGGTCTGTCAAGGAATTACTAATTAAATCAATATTTGAATTGCTAAACATTACCCCTACATAGCCATAATTACATATTAGAGAAGCAATAGAAACGTGAGTCTCTTGGATGTGGCTAAAACGTCCTCAAGTCTTACTGCTGTGTTCTTTGATGCTGGCTAAGAGATTACTACCAGTTTTGCAGCCTCAGGGATCTTGCTTTCCCCTCACGCCATGAGCAAATTCATGTGTGACATGGTAAATCATTACTCTGGCAGACTCTGATTTGAAAAAAATTAATTGGTTCACGTAAGAATCTGAGCCTTCCTGATAGTAGGAATGTGGTCTCAGCTCCCTTTGTGTTTGCTGGATTATCTGGAACCTTCCACCCATAATCTCTTTGGCTGTATGAACATCTGTACACAATTACGTAGCCTTCCATTCCTGTTCTCTGTGCTGGCCGTGGGAGAACAGTGACAGAGCAGAGCTGCAGGTTGTAGTTTGCACCAAGTGTGAAGCTCTCCAGGGGGATTAGCCAAAGACTCCAGCTTTAGCAAAACCAGCCTTGCCAGATACTGCTTTTTAAATTAAAATACAGACAAAACAACCCCCCCAAACTATTCAGTTGACTTAAAATAGAAATGTTACCAGTGTGCTGGTGATGCATGTGCTGGCCATTCCTGCTGGTTCAAGTAATGTTTTGTAACCTGTCAGATTTTAGTGAAGCGTGTACACCCTCTGGGACAGCTGATAACTTTCTGCAGCATAGACCCTGTCCAGACTGAAATAATAAATCTGTGAAAATGGTTTAGCAAATATGACTTTACACTTTCCTTTTGAAGACCTGCTTAGTGGTCTTGGCTGACGTGGCCTCAGACTTATGTTCAGGTACCTCTTGGTTCTGAGATTTTACTTTTAAACTGTCAATCTTCAACCAATTTTTTTATCACTTTCAGAATTTTAAGAGATTCAGAAAAGTGGCAGTTTTTTCATGATTTTTATGCTTTCTTTCGGTTTTTTGAGACAGCCTAGATTCTCACTTCTGTCAGAATTCCTTGCAGACAGCATATAAACCATACTGGGATTACCAATGCCTACCAGACCTCCCTTTGCATTCACAGGTGTCAGCTTTCAAAATAAAAACAGAAGTATTGTCCTCTCCCTGTGGTGTGTCCATTTTGATGGGTTTGTTCTTTGAGGTGAGAGTAGTCCTGAAAACTTCACCTCCCAAATTCATTAGTCTGACAAAGGTCTTGCTTTGACTTCAAGTGGTCCTGTGCTATAACCTTTATTCCTGTTGCATATAACTTCATCTTCAGACTTTTGCTTCAGCAATAAATCTTTCATGCCTTCTGGTGTACTGAAATTAGTCCTTACTTGTTGATTTTGCCCCTTTTCTGGATTTTGGCGATGCATAAATCTTTGTTATTTTGGCTGAAATCTCCAGTGTTTTAGTTGTCTCTCTTGGCCCTTGTTCTTGTGCAGATTGGAGAGATCTGCCCAAGGCCTGTGGCCTGACTGTGGCACTGTTGACATGTCCGTGCACTTGCAGTGGCATCCCAGTTAATGACATGATGTGCAGAAATTTAGATGTTTTCCTAGATCCTCGTACATATTTTTGGGTAGCAAAGAACTGCATTGTTATGGTTGCTGCCAAGAGCTTTCAAGGGGGTAGCTGCCACTTCTTTTTTTTCTTTGTATTACTGAATCTTTTACATTTCACTGGCAACTGACTTCGTGTGTTACATTCAAGTGTTACTCAGTGTTGTGTCACCCCCAGCCCTCCAAATGCCTGCAAATTGACTCTGAAAGAACATTCTCATTACAGGTACTGCTGGCATGCAGATTTTCCCTTCTTTGTTACTATAGTGAATATTTCAATACTACTTTAACTGAAACATTAATTCTATCTAGTATTAGAAATAAAGTATTATTTCAGAGGGTGATGATTTAATTACTCATCTGTGAAAGAATTCCTTGGTGATAAATAAAGTTGATTTTTAAGCAGATATACATGTGCACAGTAAATAAGTTGGAATTGCAAATTATGTAGGAAACGGAAATTTGAAGTAGTAGAATGCTGTGAAACAGATTTGAAACATTACAAATTTGGAAAAATGAATAAGTCTTCCAAGAAACACAGGACTGGTATTCATAGATCAAAAACTACTGCTTTCTGAGATCTGCATATGAATGAGGATGCTGAATTGACTGAAATAAATCCATGATTTTTTTCCTTGCTCATGGGCAAAATAAACTGTTGTGAGAGTAGACTGCCACGTGACCCTGCTAGGCTGAAAACTGTACTCATTTTGATCAAGAGCTCAAAGAACTCTCAACTCTCTTGTTCTAAAGTTCAAGCTTCTCAAGTGTCATTTTACTTATTTCCTTCTAGTGGGCAGGTATGTAGAGAGTCTTGTCTTTAGTCAGCCCAGCGCCTGTACCTTGCCCTGGATGTATCCAAGCTGGAAATGGAAAGGACAAATTTTCACTGCTCTCTGCTTTGCTGTGAATGACTGTCGAGAATGTTTTCTTTGATTATGAGTCACTGTGTTCAGCTGATACTTTATTACTTTCTTAAACAGATGAAATGCACTTTAAAACTGTATAAAAGAAGATACTGATATTTTGTGCAGATCCCACTGAATTTGCAGCATATGTGGGAAAATTTGGGGAATTGATTCCCATCAGTCACTCATTTCATTTTTCTTAGAAATGCAAATTATTTTGTGTTCTGTTCAGAAGCAGTGATTAACTTCACAATATCTAGGCTGCTGTTTCTGTTAGAATCATCAGGGATACTGACTTTGCAAATTTAGTGTATTATATTCTAACCACTGTTTTTCTCTGTGCTTTGATGCTGATATTATCTCTGCTTTAGAGCCGTGCTGTACTTGAGTGCCAGCTAAACACTGATCTTCTCTTGTTCTGGTCATGCTGATAGATGAGCCTACTGATGGGGGCGTTAGTCCTAAATAGTCCTTTAATATTTGATGTACAGTTATCTGATACAAACATTGATTAAAACAGCAGTTTAAACTTCTATTTTTATCAAGTTTGGTTTTTCAGTAGCTATTTTGATACCGTGTTTTCTTTTACCATTTAATTTGCTGCCCACCAGAATGATGGTGTCGTGTTGAGCTCAGGCCTGTGCTTTTTATGAAAGTCTTTTTATCTGGTTGAGACAAAATGGAGCTGAGAAGGTTATTCCCTGTGTGTGTCAAGATGAAAATCTTGAGAATTAGATCTGTGTGTGGGAGACTAATGTAACATAAGTCAAAACTGCTAAAGCTTTATCCTAAGCACACAATGACAACACTCAGCTAGTCGCCCTTTTGACTTGTGCGGTTGGGAAAAAAAAAACAGTTGAGACTAAAGAACATCTTTTAGCAGTGGTTTCTTTATGAAATTCAGAAGGAACACTGAGATAAAACTAACCCAGATGAATTAAGCTCACATTTTCCTTTCTTCTCTGTTTCTTACTCTTAAGCTGTTGTTCTACACTGTATGGAGACCTTTCTTATATTTGCCTGCTTGGGATGTTGGTTTTGTTAGGAAAGGCAGGTTGAAGGGAATGGCATTACTGAGTTGCAGATTTTCGTAGTCTTTATCCAACTTCAGTACAAATACAAGGAGAAAATGTAGAATTTATATTGAACAGTTGTAGTGATCCAGCTGCAGCAGAGATTCCTTAAATTGCCTTAGTTCTCAAAGCCTGATGTTTTTCAGCAGCAAGGTCTGTTCAGGTCTAAAAGGCTCATATAGGAGATGAACTCCATCCAAACTCTAAAACAATAAAGGTATAGTGAGAAGGTACAAACACTCTTTTCCCAACTCAGCATAGTTATTTTTGCTTCAATCTTATTTAAAAGTGATGTGTTACAGGATAGTACTATGTTTTCTGTGCTAGTAAATTCAAACAACTTATTTCTGAGGATGCAGTTGTTCAGGAGCTTTATTACTGAAAAGCCATGTTATTTGTTCCCAAAATAATATTGATGTTAAGACAGGAAACACCTGACATTAAAATTCTGAGTTTCTGGGAGTCTCATAATTTTAACTTTCAGTTTCACTTTGTGTCACCCAACTTTTAAACTGGGCAAATGTGAAAATTTCCATGAGGTTACACAAAGATTTTGCTTCTGTGCTAGACACAGACATGTCAGAAAATAATACTGATAACACATATTTTAAATTGGTTATGTCCCTCAGTCCTGTGCCCACTTACTCTGATATTGTCCTTCATGCCTAGCAGAGCATTTTGTGTGTGTGTACACACGTCCTTAGAGCATTCAGGTTAAACTTCGTTATACAAGGGGATGTTTATGTCACATAACTGCATTTTGCCAGTATAAAATGAACAGAAAACTGGATACTGTCCTAAATGGTGACAAATCAAGAAAAGCAGTCTGAATTGGTAATTGAAAATAATAGTTTCATGGCCTTTCACACACGTGCATTGAGTATTTAATCAGATAAGAATAGATACTCTCCTGCAATGGATGCTGATGTGTTCAAACTTCTATAAGTGATTGGAAGAGAAATAAATTATGTGGAATATACCTCTTCATATACAATACATATTATCAGTACAGATAAATACTTCCATTTCATTTCAGCAAGCTTTTGAATTCCGGTTTAAAACAAAGCTGCTGAAGGCCAAGTTCTGTGCCCCCCATCAGCTGCCACAGGGAGCTGAGACAACGTCCTTGTGCTCCTTCCTCACAAAGCAGTGTGAGCCATCTCGGCATCAGCCTCTCCTGTTCCCTGCAAACTCCAGCAAATCTGCCTTTCACTTGTTTTGTCCTGTTAATGTAATTGAAGATCAGTTTGGTAAATTTAAGAAAATGTGTGAGCAGCACTGGTTCCACTCCCAAGCTGTGACCAGTGCCTTTGAGAACAGTGTAATAAACAGGTGTAATTAGTTCCCACAGCAGCTTCTGGAAAGGTCACTGTGGGCTGCAGTATACTTTGTATCATAAATCCTTTTGAATGAAGTTCTGATGTCACAGAGAAGCAACACTATGTACAAAAAGTGGCACAGTTCAGGTCAGTTACATGTGGTAAAAAAAAGTCAAAAGGGGTATTCCTCTTGTCCAAGTATACCTGTAAGGACAAGGAACCTGGAGAGCTGAGCACTTCCAGCTGGCTCTGTGTGACTTCTCCATGACACCAGCAAGAAACATCTGCTTCAGCTTTCAAAATCTCTCACTTATTTCAAGGTTTGTAAACCTTAAAAAAAAAAAAAAAGGCAAACCCACAACCAAAACTGAACTTGTTGATCTTTTCCTATTGAATTAGAGGCAAGAATTAAAAGGAGATTTGTAATAACTGTGTGTGATTCTAGTTAATTAGAGATGCCAAACTTTCAGATAATTGTTACATCTGAGGAAGAGAAGGGGTTTATTAAGGGGGCAGAGTCATTCATGGCCCATCTTGCTAATAATACACCAAGTTCTAATGAGGCCAGTTCTTATTCTTCCATCATTTAAGTTATAACAATCAGTTCCCATCCCCAGCTCGGCTGAGGAAAGCTGCTCTGTGCTTCCGAGCAGTGTGGGGGTGTTTGACATCCTGTTAACAGGGCTTTTTGGATTTTTATTCTGTGAGAATCATCAGATGGGGAAGGACTGTGAGCACTCAGTTTTATGCTTGGTCCCATACCATACCCGAGGTAAGTGTGTGTGTTGCCTGGTGCTCATCACCCAGGGCTGGGTCCATGGGTTTGTGTTATTTTTTAATTTGCGTACAATAAAGGGGTTATAAATATTTTGCACTTTTTTGACAATGGCTGTGGTTTAGATTTCTTTTGTATTTGTCTCTTCTTTGTTTCCCCTTCGGCAAGGTCAACCATGCTGAAGCAAAGACGACTTAAATTCTTTCTAAAGATCACTTGTTACTTGATGTTTTGAATTGAGATCCATTGCCTTAGAGTGGAACATGTTGTTTTCTTGGACACTGCTGAAAGAGCTTTATCTGCCAGTATGGTTCCCCTGTATTTTTACCCATGTCTGTGTGATTAAACAGCAAGAGTAAATCCAAACACTTCAGGAAGGATTTTTTTCCACAGAGAAGTACATTGAGTGTCCATAATTAAACTTTTATCAGTGAGACACTTTGATCTCGTCATGTCCTGTTACCCTAGACTGTTTTTCCTGGGCTCTTTTCATTCACTTGACATTCTTTTGTCTCTAGGAACTGTAAATGGATCAGTACCTTCAGTGTGCATGTTAATGATGTCCTAGACAACTGCTACATTTGAATTTGGTGTTACTGTAGCGCCTGGAAGAGCACTTTAGTCCACAAAATATGCTCATAGTTCCAGTCCTTCCCCTTTGTTCATTTGTTACCCTGAACAGTTCATTTACACATCTGAGTTTGCCATTGCTCCATAAAGCCAAGGGTTCACCCCCAAAGATTTCCTATCCTCAGGCATTGAAAACTGTCTTGTTCAAGTACCACTTTGGGCAGGTACAAATGCAGCGCTGAACTCACCCTGTGGCTCCAGTCTCTTGCAGCACTGGGGATTTCTCACTTGGAAAGGAATCACCATTGTCTCCCTCTTTTCTGGATCTTAGGACTGCTTGCACAGTTCAGCTACTAACCCTTTTCCCTAGGGTTAACATACTGGTTATTGGCCGGTTCCGTAGCTTAGGAAATAGTGCTTATTTTTAGACTGGCAGTGGAGTCTCACTGTCAAAAGTAAAACCAAACTGAGTCACTTTATTGCTTTTTTGCTCTTATTTGGCAGCGATCAACTGTTACTGATTGTTAAACCAAATTACGCTCCTTATGGAAATTACTGTTACCTGGTTATTTCTTGACTTATAGCATAAGTAGCAGAAAATGTTAGTCCTCTTTCCAAGGATTACTCAATGTGCTGAATACCCTGGGTACAACATTTGTGGTTCCTTTGAGAAGATCTTCTACCTGCATGTATCTTATTCCATGTAACAAATAATAGTAATCATACTAGAACAGCTTATGTTGAACAAATACTTTTATTTACAAGAGCATATGTGATAGTTTTAAAATAAAAAAATGGAACGAGTCTACTTCCAGTCTTCAGCCTGCTTTAGATAAAGTCTCCAGCTTGACTCATTTCTTATTTGGCTTTCTAGATCAAATTCATGGCAAAATGGTAATATTCTGGTAATTTGGTGCCAATCATTGGGCTGAAAACCACCTGGCAGAGCTCAGTCTCTTCGTACATAGAAGATATTGTATCCCAGTTCCACCATCCCGCCAATGAGCAGGGCCCACAGTGGGATGAACACGTAGGCCAGTTTCATGGTGGTGAATCGCTGCAGCTTCGCGCAGAGGGCGAGGCAGAAGGCCAATTTCAGGAGCATTGCAATGAGGTACCAGGCTTTCTTCTTCATGTTCTGGGAGCCGTTCCGAGGGTCAAAGCCAGACTTGCACCGTCCAGCCATTTTTACAATTAACATAACTAGGAGAATTGTATCGAATATCCACACTGGAATGAAAATGAGGAACCAGTTCCATGGTGCTTTCTCATCCAACTTCAGCACCAGCATGATGAGGAAGAGTAACGTGAAAAGCCATGTCAGCAGTACTCTTTGCGCCAGGGACATTCTCATTTAAACAGCTGTGAGAGGAAGGCCTTCACTGTCAGCAACAACCTGACAAAACAAAAGGGAGGAGGGAAGGCATCAAAAGATGGCACTACATCACCATTAGGCATATTCCTCAAAGGAGAGGAATTTATGGTTCTTGCTTTCCCTGCCTTCCAACCTCACCCACACACTGTTTCCTGGCACTTCTTTTGTAACTACCATGCTCAGCTAAACACTGTTTGCTCCAGTCCCCCCTTCCCTTTAAGAGCCTTAAGTCAGACATGTAACTGCCTTAATCTAAATTTGGTCTGTGAAACAAACTGTGCCTTAATCCTAAACTAGCTGTCAGACTCATTTAGGGATTTTTGAATGCTAAGAATATGCTTAGATCCATCTTCCACCAGTACTGAGGCACTCACAGCTAACGCTTGAAAACAAACATAAGAAAATAACCACAGTAAAATGTTAAACCAACTAAGGAGCAGAAGTAACAACCCCTCTGAGAGATCTAGATTTCATGCTACAAAGATGAATAACTAATATATACCAGTGAAATGGTGCTGAAATAGGTTTCTTAATTATTTTAAAAATTAGAGTTAAGAAATTTAATAATTCCCTTTACAACACTGACATCCTTTCACCTGAAAGAAGAAAATGAGCTTTGATTTGTTCCCGATTACAAAAATATTTGAAATACCAAAAGTGAGATGTTGTGTTTGGAAGCATCTAATCCTCAGCACCAGATGCTGAGGGAAGGACAAGAGCTGCTTCCCCTCTGTCCCCTCAGTGCCCCTGCCCACAAGCTGCTGCACCTTCCTCTCTGTTATTACCAACCCTCACAACATCACCTGATAAGCCTGTTAAACTCACCCAACAAGCAGAAATCTACTACCACCTTTTTAACTGGGTTAGTTTTTTGCCAGTTTAGGAAGCTGAACAAATTCTGTGCTCACATAAGCTTTGGAACCGGTAGGAGGGAAGTAAAAGTTGCTGTTTCAGCTGGTGAGGAGGTGACTTGCCACCTGGGAGCGAGGGGATAACCATGTTGTACACCAATAAAATTATCCTACAATTTACATCTGTGTTTTCTGAAACACGATTCAACAGATCTACTATTTTGTTCAGTCTTGGGCTGAAGTTTGAATGGATTTGATTTAAAGGATAGCAGTAGGATTTCTTTTAAGGAAAAGATCCAATTTTGCCTAAAATTGGAGTTGCTGTGAGTGCATCCCCATTTTGTGTTGGGGCTGACACTTGTGTGACCCAAGGCAGGCCAGTTCCTTCAGCTGAACTAGCCAAAAATAAAAGGGTCTAAAATAGGATTTTTAATTTGCTTTTCACAGTCTCAGTTCTGCTCAGAACACTAAAGGGTCTCATGAAAGCCAGTTACTGGCAGGGTGGAACCAAGACCTCCACCCTCCCCTTCCTTAGGGAAGAGGTGAAGCTCAGCAGTGGCACTGAAGAGTCAATTGCTAAGGGGACAAAAAAATCAGAGGAAGTTTAGATAGCCTTGTTCTGCTCGTCACAGAAACAAACCCAAACTAGCTGGCAGGTGCAGAGGATTACAGAACAATTACTATGTCCTGCCTGAAGCTTTTCCAGTATTTTGAAAACACTTCCAGTATTCTCAAGTACAAGTCTGTGGCTGAAGTGAAGAGTCGTGATCTGTAATGAAGTTTCAACACCCATGAGAATGTTTTTTGAAAACCAGTTCTAGAAATCAATGCTACAAACACTGCAAGAAGGAGGCTCTCTCGATAGCAAACTGGAGAAAGCAGAAACCAAAGAAACAGACTGGAAACTTGGGCCTGAAAGGAAAAACGAAATTCAACACTGTTAGAGGTATCAGGTTATCAGATACTCAGAGAAGGTGCTATCACCTATCTCTGGAGGAAATGGGAAGCTACTGAAGATGTATTACATGAGGCTACTCAATTTAAGGTTGCTCACTTGAAAATATGTGTTCAGGACCACTTTGTAACAACTGAAAAAAGCAGAGGCAGAAAACTCAGCATGGGACGTTCTGCTGCCTTTCTCTGACTTAACAGATGTTACTGCAAGATTAGACAGGACTGCAAAGCCCATCAATTTTAGAAGCTTTTTTGGATGAAAACTCAAGAAAATCCAAGTGTACTTTTGAGAGATCTTAAAGTCCAAGTAAAGAAAACTACTAAATTTTGAAGACTGACAGCTGGGTGTGCAGCTGACAATATGATGGAGGGTTTGATTACATGAAGCATCTCGTAGTGCAGGATATGATGGGCAGACTCTGCTGGAGCCCAGCTATCCCAACACCACGGGCAGCACTTGGAAAATTTAGATGCAGCTGTGGTACAGGTCTGACCTGGCTCTTCTGTGAGAACTGGGGATGTCAAAGGCAGAGAGTGACAATAGAAAGGCTCTTGACACCTTACACATAATTAGGAAGTGAGAATTCTCAGTGATGAGAAACATCAAGGAGCATCACTGACCTTGATGGGACGATCTGCATAATCAGGATGTTATGAGAGCTAATTCTGTCCTATTTAGAAGGAAAAAATTAAGTGGAGGGAAACTTACACATGACATTCAGTGCAGTGGTAACGATAACACAGATCTGTACCTTTAGATTTAAACCTTGAACATCGCCTAAAAAAGTCCTGAAATTTACATTATGCTGAAACCAAGTTAAACAGAACTCCAATTCGATTAGATATCATTTTGAACCTATTCGGTAGGTACGAGTAATTTAACACCTAGAAAGAATACCGCGGTAGGCCCGGTTTAAAATCCCATTTAAGCACAGCTTTGCTATTCACAACCTCGGCCCCTCCCTCGGCCGAGCGGCCTTGTCCCGCCAGGCCCCGCTCACCCGGCCATGCCGGAGGCTCCCTGAGATGGAAGCTCCCCGCG